AGGCGATTGACGGCGGAAGTTGTAGATGCAAAGGCAAGGAGGCAATGTACGAAACCCTAGGGGTGAACCCTTTGGTTTTATACGGGCGACAGATGCGAGGAAGGCAACCGTCCGCCTGGATCTCCGTGCCTGCCACGATTCACCACCACATCACCACGCAGGATATGTGCCCCCCAATCCCTATCCTTTCCCACCAAAGTCGCGCCGGACGTTTCGGCTTTCCGGGCAGACCATGACTCTTTTTCCGTAGAAGGGATACGAGTCAAAAAGCGTTTCTTCGGCCCGCCCAGGCCCAGGAGTTTGAGGGCTGGCCCAATGGTTTCAACAGCCGTCCCAACAAAGGATGGGCCCATGAGCGGCCAAAACTCAGTCGCACGAGCCTCAAGAGTCTCGATCCGCGATCGAGTCTCAACCGGGCTGACCCTGGATGAATCCCCGCGAATGGGATACCAAGGTTTCTCTTTAAACTATCTGGTTATCAAAACACCAAATCTCATAGTCATACCCACGAAGGGTCCGAATTACCCCCCGGGTGATTCTATCCAAATCACCTGGGGGCTCGGGGGCTACACCCGGCGGGTACGCTCGCGCGCACCCTCTGGTGAATCGAAATACCCCCGGGCGATTCTATCCGAATCACCCGGGGGCTCTGGGGCTACACCCGTCGGGTGCGCTCGTGCGCACCCTCTGGCAAGTCAAATCACCGTCCGGGCGATTCTATCCGAATCACCCGAGGGCTCAGGGGCTACTATCGGAGACCAAATACTGGGGTACCCAAAGAGAAGAAGCTAATAACTATCAAACGTTGATGCTTCCGAACAGATAAGAACGCACCTACACTTCTTGTCCAACGACCGAAGGTTGGCTCCGCCTTGCTCGACCCCTAAGGGCTGGCTCCGCCTCGCCCGACCCCCGAGGGCTGGACTCCGCCTCGCTCGATGTCTGGGGGCAGACTCCGCCTCGCCCGACGTCCGAGGGCTGGCTTCGCCTCGCCCAACGTCCGGGGGCTGGTTCCGCCTCGCCCGACGTCTGGGGGCAGACTCCGCCTCGCCCGACGACTGAGGGCTGGCTCCGCCTCGCCCGACGTCTAGGAGCAGGCTCCGCCTCGCCCGACGTCCAAGGGCTGGCTTTGCCTCGCCCGATGTCCGAGGGCTGGCTCCGCCTCGCCATAATTACGCGTGCAGATAAGGCGGGACACTCAAGTCAACCGCAATACCGAGGACCATACCCTGCACGTCTGCAAGAAAGTACCCTCAGGATATGACTAGACGGGCGCTTTAAGCCCTTCCAGGCATGTTAGAGCCCAAACAGTGTTGCGGGCGCCGACATTTATTCTACAGTGTTATGGGCGCCGTCATTTGCCCTCGAACACGAATCCTGATGGAAACATACGACAATCACTACGGTCAAGAAGGAAACTCATGTCATCTACAGTAACGAGCGTAGGGCATCTACATCGTCTGCTCCCCATAGGGTCGTAGCTCGGCACCCTAGTGCGTCGCGCCGCCCGCCGAGGCGGGACGGGACGTGACCACTTGCTGAACGAAACCAGAGTATGGCCCTATCAGGATCAGCGAACGTGTTATCTCTGGCACTGTCTGCCGTGTCAGCGGGACAGGCTCAAAGGAAAAGGAAGACTCGGTACCTTCAAAGGACATTCTCTGCCTCTGATTTTTCCTCTTTCTCCCATATGTAACCTATGCTTCCCCTTAATCCATAAAAGGGAAGGCAGGGCACCCCACTAAGAAGACGGATCAATTCAACACATCACGCATCACGTAACATACAATTGAGCAGTAACCAAGCTCTCAGCGCCCTTTCCAACTTTCCATCAGAGACTTAGAACATGTCCCTCTTTCGATTGTTTGTACCCCTACTACGAACCTTTCAACGCTAATAACACGAGCAGCAGCCGCAAACTGGATATTCTGCCCAAACCACTATAAACCTTATCCTTTAGCACACCATACGAGACTAACGCGCAACAAATACAAATTTACTAGTTGGTGTTTACTCGAAACATCGACAAAGTATTTCAGACATACGTCGCAAGTGTTTCAATTATTTCGGGTGTATGTTGCAAATGTTTTATCTGAATTTTGTAAAAATATATCGGATACTACATATGTTGCAACGGAACCCATCTGTCGCTGCCGCCAGCTGCAGCTGCTAAGGCGCTTGTATGCGGTTCTCGTGTGAAGCGGGTGTGGAAAGCATCCTGCGCAGGCACAAACAGTCCCATGTGCTCGAAGCGGGGGTGCAGACGGTCCGCACATGCACGCAGGAAGCGGAGCTAAAACAGGCGGTTCTTGTTAAGTCTGGGCATTCGGGTTATCCGAGATTTTCGGGTTTTGAGAAATTCGGATTTCAGAAATTGTTAGCCGATATTTATCCTGAAAAAAGATTGATCCGAGATATCGGGTATCCAAAAATTCGAGTTCAGGTTCGGGTATTCCCGAATTACCCGAACAAAAAATGAGCAGAAGAGGAACTAAGGACGACTTTATCAGGAAGACTACTATCCAGCTGGAGCAGCCATGTCCAGTCTCCTCGAGCGCGGAGCACCACACCGCCGGACTCGCCTCAAGGACTGACGAACTCACCTGCTGCAGCGACGACGTCGCCTTCCGCACTGACATCGATGTCTCACGCGTACCTGCCTTTGGTCTAGCGATCCTCACCTGCTAGATGTGGCCATGCGCCCATGCCCCAAGTCCCGTGCATCAAGCGGTGGATAAAAAATGAGAAGCAAGAACAGATCTGCATTGGAGATGAGGATTAAGGAGAGAGAAATAGAGAGACTGGGGGATGCGGGAGGCATCTGGTGCCTGGCGGCTGAGATGCTGTGCGGGTGTGCGGTCCTATGTGGTGTGCGTGCGAGGGTTAGAAAGGGATGGTAGTGGGAGTTGATTTTGGTATGGGCCAAAAATGTTTCACCTGCTGGGCTTTTATTTAAATCGGGTTGCTTGGGTAACTCGTGTACCGGAGGTGCGTACCTGAATTTTCTAATACAAGTTCGCGTATTCAGACTTGCTACCCGAAGTAGGACCCAAAATTTTAGGTATCAGGCATTTTGGGTTTGGGTAATGGGTATCGGGTTTTTTTTGCCCACTCTTAGTTCTTGTGTGCGAGTAGAGGGCGTGGGTTGGGGCGAAGCGTCCACGTGATGCGGGCGCGGAAAACGAAGAAAGCGCAGTAAATGGAGAGGTGTGCACCACAAGTAGGCGCAGGCATCCTGGCACCTGCATCTCGCGTAAGGCGTTTAGATTGAAAAAAATTTCAACCCGATGAATAGTATCACTTTCGTCTTATTTAGTAAATATTGTCCAATCGTGGACCAATTAAGCTCAAAAGATTCATCTCGTGATTTCCAACTGAACTGTGTAATTAGTTATTTTTTTTACCTACATTTAATACTCCATACAAACGGCTAAAAATTGATGTGATGGAGAGAGAGTGAAAAAACTTAGAATTTTGAGGGTATCTAAACAAGGCAAGGCCCCATTTAGATTTAAAAAATTTTGCGCAGTACCCGTCACATCGAATCTTACGGCACATGCATGAAATACTAAATGTAGACGAAAAAAAAAATTAATTGCACAGTTGAGTGAGAAATCGCGAGACAAAACTTTTGAACCTAATTAGTCCATAATTAGACACTAATTGCCAAATACAAACGAAAATGCTACAGTAGCCAAATTCAAAAATTTTTGGATCTAAACGGGGCCTAAGTTTAACTATACGAGATACTTTCTTCGTTCAGAAAAGAATATAATTATGGAAAACACGTCGGTCAAATTAGATTAAGTTTGACAAATACTTTTTTATATAATTCTAGTCAAAGTTTGAATGTGAACGGTGGAGTAAATTTCAGGGAGATTTGGTCGTCATTTGGACAAATTTGGAGGGAGCAAATGTGAGACGTCCGTCTGGTCTGCTAGTGCGTGATGAGAAGCGGTGCGGGCCATGCTTGCAGCCCAGCACGAAGGCTAAGAATTATCGAGCCCAAAGGCCCATCTCGCGCCGCTTCCGTGGCCCGCTCCATTCTGCCTACACTGTCCACTCGTGCTTTGTCGTTCTGTCGTACAGCTGCCCGCCGCCGCCGGAGACGGGAGCAGCTGGCCGCAGCGCCTCCCACGGCGCATCAGCTATTCAGCTTGATGCAGGGCCTCCATCCAGAGCCCACTTGGACAACGAAGGTACGTTACGTATAACAGCAGTTACATCCCCCCTGTGCAGATGTAGAATGGCTCTAGTTGTTAGATTTGATGTGTCCTTGTAATCTCCCCAAGGACCACCAACAACAACCAAATTGGTAGGCAAAGAGTGTTAAAAAGTCACCTGATCATATGTTGGCCGGATAACACAAGACTGGTTTGTTGCCTGGCTATTGTTCCTTCCAATCCCGGCGAGCAGCCTAGCACAACAACCAGCCCCAACAGTTTGTGCATATGTGATGCTTTTTCTGGCTTCTTACATCTTTGTCTGCTCATCTGTGATTCCTGGAACTTCCACTCTAGCCCAAATATGATCTATCGATTATTTGTGCCTACCCCCAGCTTGCTTGGGACAAAAAGTCTCTGTTGTTCTATTATAATTTTTAAATTTTTATTAGGTTGTTAAGAATTGTTAGCTGCAAAAGATTCTGCACTCTAATTGAACAAATCGTCATGAAATTTTACTTCACTAACAATGTTTTTCTGCTGCTTTAGCCTGCATAAGAGTTACAAGAAAACTTTGCATCGATATTGCTGATATGTTACAATTAGCACTTCTTTTCTTCTATCTCTTAAGTATTTGATAACCCTCAGCACAAAAGTACCATATGGACACTGACTTTTAGGTGGCTCTTACCATTACATTTGTGCCACTAACATCTTCTACTAAAACAAGTATCTGAACCACATTTTCCATGGTTGGTCTTCTGTCTCTATCTTCCTCCAGGCATGAAATGGCCAACCTCATCATTGTTCTTGTTTGCAAATTGTTGAATTCACCATTCAGTCTAGCGTCAACGAAGTCGGCGATCCAGGATGGTTCAATGCCATCCAACTGCAACTTTTCTTTGACCAGCCTTGATACCCTTCCAAGGACCTCTCCGCTTCCACATCCTCATTTTCCATGTTTGAGACACGTGCTCCCAACAGTAGTTCCAGTAGCACAACTCCAAAGCTGTAGACATCAACCTTTGCTGTAATCGGGAGACTAGAAACCCATTCAGGTGCTAGATAGCCTCTAGTTCCTTGGATCTTTGAAACATTTATGTTGGATCCACCTCTGTTCAAGAGCTTTGCAAGGCCAAAGTCTGCAATCTTTGGCACCAAGTTCTCATCGAGCAGTATGTTTTCAGGCTTCACGTCGCAGTGGATTACCCACTCTGAACACTCGTGGTGAAGATATGCCAATCCTCTAGCCACCCCTAGCGCAATATCAAATCTTTGCTTCCATCCAAGTATGATTTTGGAACCCTTGCTACCAAATAAGATTTTATCCAATGAACCATTCTCAAAACATTCAGAAACCAATATCCTGTGTGGACCATCAGAACAGAATCCCCAAACTCTGACCAGATTCATATGGTAAATCCTGCTAATGACACTCAGTTCATGCTGGAATTCTTCTTCACTTTGGTTTATTTCTGCTAACTTTTTCACAGCAACTGCTCTGTTGTCTTTCAAGACACCTTTGTATACAATGCCTGATGCACCCCTTCCAAGTTCATCCTTAAACTTTCTGGTCACCGATACCAACTCTCTGTAGGTGTACCTGCGAAAATGATTAGTTATCATTTCATATCCAGGCTCAGCTGGCCATACTCCTCTCAGTTCTTTGCACTCTCTCCTCAAAATAAACCATCCTAATACAGCAAACATTAACTCTGCCAGAAATATTGCTGATAAGAATCCATAGAAGTACAGATACTTTGATTCACTCTGATCTCTCTTAAGCATATCCAGAAAATCTGCTATGAAGTATTTATTTGTTGTACTACAGTCAGGACCATACTTGGGACCAAAAGGTTGTGATTGCGGAATTGAGGCCTCCAACACTTCTACTGCCTTGGGAACCTTGATGTACATGGTGCCAGTAGTACCAATGTGATGCAGGGTTACACCACCAACAAGAGCAAACTTTGGATAGCAGTCGCCGATTCCTTCCCAGTATGCAAAACCCTTACAAGTGCAGTCATGCAGGCATTTGTTCATGCAAAAGTCAAGAGAAACAAAACGATGGGCAGTCATATCATACCCGAAGAAATCAGTGTGGGGTAGCTTAGCAAATTTCACCTTCTGCGCGTCACAACTGATGTTGGTCTTTGGTCTGCAGCCTTTGCTCCGCTCACTTGGGTCGATGACTTCAAAACCAGGGGCACACGCACAAGCAGGCATAGGCGTATACACACATATTCCGTTTTCGCCACACAAACCGCGCACTGTGCAGAGCTGAGGAAACGCCATCTATGTGACCGACCATGTTCCCTCTGCCTTATTCAGACTGTATAATCTGAGGTTGCCATCATAATCCAGTGTTAGCCACCTCATGATCCCAGGACCCCAATCAGCAGCTGTGAAGGTTGCATTGTCACTTCCAAGGAAATGTCCCCAGGTATCAAGAGCCCCAGATGTACTGCTATTGAATGGCACTCTAAGCTTCTCCCAGATAGTCATACTTGGATTTGGCCAATAGATAAAAGAAATATTTTTCTCATCATCAAACAGAGAAAGAAGGTACTGATCGTCAAAATGGAAGCTGTAGTGGCCAGGAACAAGTAACCTGTTAGTAGAGACCTGCTTTGTAGGAGTAGTAATTCTCTGAGTGGGTAACAAGGTATCAGTTGGAGAATCAAAGCTTTGCCACAGGATGGCACCATCTTTGCCCTTCACAACGAGGTTCCCAGTGTCCAATAGCCGAGCTTGAACATCATGTCCAGCATTTGAAACGCTCACATTGTTGGTCCACACAATCTGGCCATTGTAATCTTTTAGAACCATGCTCCCTTCGACATCTAACTCGACTTTGGATCCCCAGGTGTACACAGGGTGGAGAGGATTCGCGCTCCAGACGATGGTTCTTTTGGATGATCTGGAGAACCAGATGGAGAAAGTGGAGGCATTGGGAGAGATGCTGTAGAAGCCGCAGGTGAAAGTGCCATCTGGCGAGTGGAGCAAGCTGTGCTCTACAGAGAGAGAAGAACCCGCTGACAGGAAATCATAGGCCGAGACAAACGAAAGCAGATGAGTCAACGTGAGGAGGAGACTGGCTAAGCTCTCATTCATGGTAGGTGCTACAGCTACTATCAATTGCGTGGAAGCAGATGAATGTTCGTCAGGAGAAGCAGGCGCATATTTAGGGTTATCTTAGAATGGTGGGAAGCGCGCATAGGATTCAGGTTGCAATGCATTATCATCCATGGACTGAGCTATGGGAAGGTCAGGTTTGGAGTTTGGACAAAGTGGTATATTTGCCACTAGGCATGTGCGCTCACATGAGTTCTTTGGAAAAGAACAGATTTAGAATTCGTGGTGATATGTTATAGTGTTTTACGGAGTATATCCAAAATGTAACCTCAACTGAGCATAGGTTCCGTGTGGTGGAACTGTTTGACTTGCCTTGGGTGCTCGTATTTTACTGGATTTGTTCCAGGATTTAACGGCTTTGTTCTTTTAGTGATGCAAAAAAAAAGTAACCTCTTTGCTTCATAGAGCAGTTCAATTATAAACAGAGAAAAAAGAAACTATTCAGGAGCAGAACAATTATAAATTAGAGAGAAGCTAATCAGCTATGTTTTTAAACTTGTTACGAGTACTTACATCAACATCTTTAGCTTCGGAATTATTCGATTCTTCGTCATGCTCTCAGCAGGTCAACACGACGCGTCTCTCTAGATAAGTTTGCTGCGTCTATTCTTGACCAATGTCCGCCTAATCCCGGGCCGGTACCCACCACTACACAACAACAGCACCTTGTTTACTTTAGCCGAGGAAAAAAGGTGACAAAAGCTGGAATCGTTTGTAGCTTATCACGACACTCTGCCCCTTCCAGACTTCCACTGTCACTTGCCAGCTGCCTGCTAAACTCAATGCCGGCGTTGGTCAGTTCCTGGCTTCCTGTTGAAAAGAAGCAGGCTTACCCATCAAGATCCAGCATGGCATTAGCATCGGTTTGCACTGGCGCGGCGTGGTGACTGACCTTATACAATGATGTCCTATTGGAAAGCATTGCAAGAGTCAGTGCACATTGCACAACGATGCCGAACTGTTGACACATAAAGGTGACAACATCTTAACAGCCTGGGCAACATTCGACGGTGAACTGATGTTGTAGGTTGAACGACCATGTTGCTTCAGATCTGAGTTAAACAGCACTGAAAAATCTCACCTAGCAAAGCGTCACAATACAGACACAACGGAACACCGGGTCCATTTCCTGCATATTTCCCTCTTTTTTTTGAGCCACATATTATGTTCTTCTAGACAAAACAGAATATATTTCGAGACAATTCTATTGCAGCTTCTCTTCTCTTGTCTCAGAATCATACAAAATGGAGATACAAGAGGGGAAAAAAAGGAAAACCCAATGCCATGTACTTTCAACATCCTCTATGTTCTGAGAAGCGGCAACAAAATCTCCACACCAAAGAATGAGGGGGGGGGGTACAAAGAAGCTACAGGGAACACATTTTCTAAGGAGATCTACAGTCGCAAGCGCTGCGGCAGAGAAGTTAAAAGAAGCCAACATGCTTATTACAAAAAGTAGTCTGGGGTCTTGCGCGTCATGTCCGGCTCAATTTGCCGCGGAGCTGGGTCGAATTGGAGGAAGTTCTGATCCATGTTCTCACCGATTTCGAGGATTGCAGCCATGTTCCCACATCGGTAGCAGTAGTTAGGCGCGCTGAACACTGTCACAACGTTCTTATCCTGCATCACACAATACAAAAAATTCAAGATTCTATTCCATTTAATAAGCAGCGGTTTGCTAAGCCCGTGATGGAAGGAGAAACGCAAAATTCACATGATAGGTAAGAGAAAACAGATGTGCTAAGAGTCTGCTTGGATTAGCCTGTATCTAGGCTAGTGCATGCAGTCAAGCTGTGTTTGGTTGCCCAAAGACTCTTATGCAGGCTTGCACAGCAGATTTGGTGGTACTAAGAAATGCAGATTTTCACAAGCCAATGGACATACAAAAATAAAATATTGTCGCCTTCCCTACCTCTACGGCTCTACTAAAAACATGGAACCTTTACTGGAACAAAGAGACGACTACCTACAATACAATGTAAGCAACCAAACACATCTTGCTTATACATGGAACCTCTACAGGCTTGGGTTGTATTGCATAAGCTGTAATGCAGGCTAAGGCTAAGCAACCAATCACACCCTAACATATTGCTGGTTTGGGTTGTGCCACGTAAAGCCTAATGCTGGTTCAAGACTCGTGCAAGCAACCAATCACACACTTAATGCATGGGGGTAATGCATTGTCCCTTATCGCTTTTCTAATACATGGATAAATCATCATTTATTGCAATGTCATTGTTTCTGAGCAAGCTATATCTTATGTAATGGAGTGATCCATGTATTCTCATAAATAAACACTTCATCAATCTTTTCTTTCAGGGAATAATTATGTCCTCCATCAGCGAATAAATTATGCTTAGAAACCATGCAATCTAACTGCTAAAGCTTTGGCCGCTAAGATGGTGTTTGGTGACGTTAAGTCACATAAATGGAAATATCAGATGACACTGTAAACAGAGCTCGAATGGGTGATTACGACCTTTGTTTGGTTTTTAATGTAAACCGTATCGCATGTAAGAGTTGATGTACCCACTACCGCATGCACGCAATTGGACCAGTCAAACCCACCTCATGCACCTTGGGATTGGAGATGGGGAAGATGAAAGAGTAATTTAGGGCCTGTGCTCCTCCTGCTCCAGATTCACTGTGGAAGCTAATTCTCTAAGAGAAGTGATTCCCTAACTGAAAATGTTTCTCTATGATAAACTTCATGCTTATAGTGAGTTTAGTGACTGTGTGGAGTGAATCAGGAGATACTACTTCTTTCAGCTCCTAGCCCCCTAGACCCTAGCTCATTTTAGAGAATCACTTCTCGGTAAAAAAAACTATCTGGCAGAGCTCCTAGATTTATCCAGGAAGCTGCTCTGGGAGCCCTGCCCCCCCCTGCATTTGACATCACTTTGTTGATGTGCTGCAGCCACAATGTGCCTGCATCTCATCTCTACTGCAAGCAGAATTTTGACTCTTCTAGCAAGAACAGCAGCCATCACCATAGGGAAGGCAGAGCAAGCCATAGGACAGGGTAGGTCTGCTCCCATAGGGAAGGCAGAGGAAGCCAAAGGACTCATCTTCGCTAAGAGAAAGTCAGTGGAGCTCTGAACTGAAGGCATGGGCACGGGACAGGAGCAGTTGGAGGGCTGTTGTGGAACCTTGGACCCGAACAACAGGGGCCCTGGAGTTGAATCCAACTTCTGAACCTTCAGGCGCACATCAAAGGGACCACCAGGGAATAGGGGAGGGTCTAGTGGTGATTTCTGCCCAAATGGATGGAGTATTGCTGTATTCAAAGTTCAAGAAGGCGCTGGGCGGTTTCTAGGCGCTGACCCATAGCCTAGAGCCTAGTCGAGCCTAGGCGTTTCAAGGCGTTTTTCTAGGCGTTCTATATCCATTCATATTTTACCTGTAAAAGTCTATAAGAAAAGAAAAAAACAGGACACCTGTGGGCCAAGAGTTGTATAGAAAGGCCCATAAAGCAGCCTAAGCCCATATCTGAGCAGCAAGCCTTATCTCTAACCTCATCCCCCACCCTATCCCTTTGTACCCCTTCGTATCATCCACCGCACGACTGGCCGCGGTGCCCACCGCCTCCATCCCTGCCTCTCCCGTCCTCCGTGCTGCTTGCTGCCCCCGTCCCCACCTCCTCCGTGCCGTTCGCACCCGCCGCCGCCCCGTCCCTGCTTCTCCGCCTCCTCTGCCACAGCTGCCACCGCCGCGCAACGTCCCCGACTCCTCTGCCACGGACTAAAGGCCCTGCCTCCCGGCCGTACCCGCCGCTAGCCTCCTCCAAGCCGCGCTTGACACCTCTGCCGCTCTGGATCTGTGGTCAGGCCGCCTTTCTTCCGCCTACCCCCTTAGGCGAGGCGGCACCCCTCCGCCTAGCGCGCCTAGGCGAGCGCCTAGTAGCGCCTTTTTGAACATTGACTGTATTAGGATCAATGTTCCTTATGTATAGCAACAGAAATTCTTATCGATAATTAGGATCCTCAGAAACTTCTGCAGGAATAGATTCATGTACTTAATAAAAATGCCATGACAGTTTGGTAAACAGAACTCTGAATTAAAAAAAACAATGGGTAGAATCGAACATTCGGGATACTAACCTGGCACCAATTGAACCCTTCCATTACAAGTTGATGAGCCCTTGAAATAAGACTTAGCCCATTTGTATGGTTGAATTGTTGTGCAATATCTTGGCCAAATGTGTATCCAGCACCCCTTGGTGAAATTCCCCACCCACATCGGTCATCCGGGTCAGACCACAAAAGATCACACATAGGTCCTTCATGCGGAACCTACAGCCATTTTAAATAACAGAGAAAATATTAATCAAGGAAAGCAGAATGCATAATCAACAAAATATTATATACAAGAACTATGATATTTATACCTTAAAGCCTAATTGAGAGATCATTTGTAAATCATTTAAGAACAATCAGTGTCAAGAAACTGAATAGCTGAAATATCGTAGGCTTCTACAGCCATGCAACCGAACAAAGCCCCCTCTTGGCCTCTTCTCTACCTAGCCTGGCTATCCCTAGCTGGTCCAAAATCTAAGCCAGGCAACCAAACAGCCCTTAAATCTCTTTCTCAATGCAACTAAGCTAGGAAGTAAAGTATCATGTAAAGGTAGAAATTGGATCCAATCGCTTCTGTTTTTCCTCGCAGAGTATATCATCTGGTCAGAATAGGAAACCACCCAACTGCAACAAGGTGAACAGATAATTCTGAAATCTGGACTCAGTTTCTAAGGTTCTTCTCACAACAAGACAAGAATGTGTTCTGGTCCATGCAGATGCAAAACAAAAGGTTCAATCTCCCGAGTTAACCAATAAGACATAAGGGGATCCCGCATGCACTCTTCTTCCTTACTAACCTACCTAACAGATATATTTAATAAACGGAACTATCTATGTCTTGACAACCAGACCTGTTATGTCTATGCAGACTTCAGCGATCAACATAGATATCTCAAAAGAAAC